TAAAATAGTTTGGTATGTTAGATGTAGTTTGATGACATCAAAAGGAATCATGGGAGTTTTCTTCTGACGAGTTGGGTAAAAACTTAGGTAATGGTAGGTTTTAACCTGACTATTTTCAGTCTGAGTCATTGACTCTTTGAAAGCAAAAGCAACACAAGTTAAAGTCGCTTTTACACAATTATGTATGTTCCTTTGTCTTTAGTTTACTTGATCTCATCAAAAACTCTGAAAATGCCCAAATGCACCACTAGGTGGCGAGAGCGTGATGAAGTTCGTTAGTAAACCGTTCCGCTGCCGTTTCGTGCCATCGACATTAATATATGGACAATGGGTTTCCATAGACTCCAATAACAAGTTTTTGTGCTAAAATGGGAGGTGGCCACCACCGCCATTTTGACCGTGTCACAGGTTCCGTCAAGCCCAGACAATTCCATAAAAGGGAAGAGAGGAGGAGCTGAGGGTGGGGCTGTAAGAATGGGATCAACTGATGACACCCGGTCGAACTAGCTACAAGCTAACCTGAAGCTAACCCAAAGCTAATGCGGAGTTGGGAGCTAAGCTAATGGAGGTAGCAACCTAGCTACAACCGGAGATAACTGTGCACAACACCAGAGCTTCTGAGTCAGAGATACGCCGGGCTGACCGCTGGGTATAACCGGGTGGAATACAGAGGTCTCCCGAGAGCTTCACAAGCCGGCAGCCGCACAGCAGACAAGCGCCGCTGCGATCTGAGATGTGCAGAGCTGCCGCTGGGGAGAACCGGGTGGAAAGTTTTCCATCCCAGAGCTCCACAAGCCGTCAGCCCGCCGCAGCACACAGAAGCCGCGATCAGACAGAGATGCGCCGAGCTGCGGGGAGAAGTGGCGTATTTTGGCGGTTCTGGCTTGCCATAAGAACCAGCCGTCAGCCCGCCGCAGCACACAGAAGCCGCAATCAGACAGAGATGGACCAGGCTGCGGGGAGAAACAGCCGGCATTCCGGGTGGAAAACATCGGTCTCCTGAGAGCTCCACAAGCCGATAGTCGGAAACCAGCTCCACCAACATGTTATATTTCAACCCGTTTTCTAAAGTGCAGCATTATGTTAAATGCACTGGGTTTTACCCTATTATTTTTAAATTTCATGGTTAAACAGTACATGTTAAAATCTAAGCTCAGCTCGGCAGTGACCTAAAATACATAAATATAATTTTACTTACCGAAAAAATGAAGTGGAGACTCCTTGGACGCTCTATTAGTGCAATTAATGCCACAGCAAGTCATTTTGTCCAACAATTGCGCAAAAAATATCCAAAAAGGAATACACAAACACAGAGACTCAAAATCCCAGAAGTTTCCAAGCCAGACCGAGGCTCTACTGAGGCGTTTCCACGGAGCTAGCTCTGTGGTCACGTGGGTCTGATGCTCATTAATTATACAGAATTTTAGGCTTTTAATACACTTAAACAGAAGAGTGAGAAAATAATTCACCCCCCTCAGAGTTGTCATGAGTGTAAACTAGATCATTTAAACCAAAAACATGTTTTGGTACCAGGCTGTAAACATGTTTATTTCTGCTGTGAAATTGGTATTTTTAACATGGGAGTCAATGAGGATTTGCTCGCTTCTGACACCAGCCCCCAGTGGATGAGGGTGGAACTGCAATTTTTGGTACTTCCGGGTTGGGACCAATTTTAGAGCCGCATTGTGGGGGCTTGTTTCGTGCCACTGATGCTTCCAGTGCGAAACTGGCGTGAGACATGCACATCTAGTTCCAGACCATGGGACCCCGGGAGTCTGAAAAATCTAATGCAAGTTGATGGGGCTAAAAACGCTATGTTCTAATCCCGTTTGTTATGCGTCATGGATGCTAATTTTTGAACGGGGGGGAGGTATTTGGGTTTTGTGTGAAAATATGTCCAGGACTGCAAATGTGTATCACCAAAATGAATTCATCGTATTGGACATGGATAAAAGAAGAGAGAAAATGGCTTTAGGCCCAGCAAACTTCGAATCCTTCCTTCAGGAGGAAAGAACCTCCATAAATCTGGCTATGTGGTAAGCAACTACGCTAAGGAGGAGATTCTGTGGTGACGTCACATATGCAACGTACCGATGTCTGATTTATAGTCATGCTAATTATGAACTTTTACAAGCTGATAAATATGAAAGTACGTGACAGGCGTGGACAAAACACACATCATTATTTTTCATTTAAGTTGAAGCTCTTTTAGCCACTTTTACCTTCATTCATTTTTTTTCTTTCTTCTGGGGATCCATGAGCTGACCGGAAAAGGAGGAGACTTAGGCTCTCTATAAATAACCTAAACTTAAGTTTTAAGTTTGTTTCTGTTTTTCAGGTTAGGGTTATTAGGCAGTGAGGGAGAGAAGTCGCCACTGACTAAAAGCCAAACTATCTCAGGTGGGATGTGAAGTTGTCTTTAAAAACTTTTTAAATTTCCAACATACTGACTGACTGAAAATCAGCACCAACATGTGAAAACGTCTCTGACTCAGAGAACTGTTCTAAAAAAGACTCAAATCCTTTAAAAGGAACCCAGGTTACAAAACTTTGCGGTTCTTAAAAGAGAAATGTTAGTATAAGTTATATTGAAGTGGTATAAAAACCTTCTTGATGTCTTCATTTTTATGAAATTTGTTAAAAATTGTTTAACTCGTAGGTCACCATTGTTGTTAGCGTCACACTGCACTCTGGGTAGTGACGTCATATGGTTGTACCGCAGTTGCACCGGCCGGCTTTGGGACCCTGTAGGGACCGTTCAGCGTCAACATGTCATCTGTTCAGCCTTTTCCGTTTGAACCAGAGCGAAACATTAATGAGGACATCACTGACGATGTTTCACTAAACGAGCATCAAAATGAAGAGCAAGAAGGGCGAGATGAAGCGAGTGCAGGACGAAACAGGTGGTGCGTGTGTGGCAAACACGTCTCCACGTTAACCAAGAGGGAGAGTGTTTGTTGTCAAGAGCTCACATTTTAGTTAACGGTAAGCTATCGTGTGATCAAACTTATTCAATTATGAATGATTTTGGAGAAGATTAGCATCCAGAGCTGTCGTGTGCTTTATAGATGATTAGGATATTCAGTGAAACGACTGAAATCATTTTTGCAGATATTATATATGTGGAGAACACTGTATTGCTACACTTACTGCTTGTTTTACTGACGGGAGAGGTGAATGTTCAGCTTCATCCGAGACGAGTGGCGTGTCCGATGGTTCGCCCAACATGACAGAAGCAGAAGCTGCAGGAGCGGGTTGTCGGCTCAGGAGAGCGTCCAGCATCTCTTGTCTCTCCGAGGGTATTTAGGCTCCTTGTGTGGGGAAATGGTCAGTAAACCATTTAGTTTCCGCCTTCTCTTATACCCAGCTGCTCTGGTGAGCTCTTTAAGTAGTTGTGGTCCACTATAAGCCTCAAACGCATCAGGAGAAAAATGTTGGGAACACAGCCGTGGATCTTTGGGAAGTTGTGTCCACAAGGCATCTTCCCACTGCTTTCTCCTCTTCTTGCCAGTGGGAAAGCTGTGTAAACTCGCATCACTGCACTTGTTGCCCTCTGACTGGAAATTACATCCAAAAGCAGCACAGTGCGGCATTTTACTTAATTATTAATACAGTGAGCGCGTAAACAAACACTAGTGTCAATGGCTATTCTTCCAAGAGCAACCAATATATGTCATCGCCCCCAGAGTGCATTGTGTGTGTAAAACATGGCGCCCTACGTATGTCCAAAAACGTACCAAATATTATAGATTAATAAATAAACAGCAATATTTTGTGTGTTTCTAACATAGTTTGGTACAACAGAAAACTTGTGGCTTATTAGGGCATACATGTCCTCATAGCTGGAGTTCATTTTAATGTTGTGAACATTTCAGTTTGATTTAATGTTTTATTCTTTGCTTTCTTCTTTGATTTGATCTTGTTGGCCCAGCTTCTTTCACTTTAGACTTTGGGATGGATTGTGTAAATAATAAATATTTATATTATAACAATGGTAAATACGCAGCTCTGCATAAAGCTTGTCACAAAAGCTCCTAAAGCACCAGTTAAAGGTGATTTCAGCTGAAAACTTTCTTAGAATTGTATCGTTTAGACACACACACAGCCCTGTAGGGATCAGGCTTTAGTGTCATGTAGCCTATAGGGGTTTATTAGCTCATTGTCGGGTTTTCTTCGTACTTTTTTCTGTATTTATGTTTGAAATTCCTCACAGTAAGTTGTTTTGTTTTATTAAAGGTATTGGGATCATCTGCCTGCCTCCTGAACACTGTGCATTTGCTCCAGCTGCAGTTTAAAATGCAAAACCTCTAAATCGTTGTAAGTTTTCTCCTAAAATTACACTCAATTACTTCTTTCAAAAAAAGATGTTTCACTATTTTCCCCTCCGTCGTCCTCCTGCTGCACCAATCCCTCATTCTCCTCTTATCACACCTCCTCTCCTTTTCCCTTCCCCACTCTTTCTCTCACTGGCTGTCTCTATCTATCTTCCCATCCCCCTTGGTGTTTTTCCCCCTCCCTACAATCAATGTGGCTTTTAAGATGCCTATCGATTTGTTCCCCTAGACAGGCCCAGCGCGCTGGGGCGACACTTTGATTGCTGGGCCAGTAATTACTGTTATTATTTATGCATCTGGGCAAAATGGCAGGACTTAACATTCACCGTACAAGAGGCCACAGGCAATCAACAGAGGTGAGCACCTGGAGCGGCGGGGAGGGCGGTGGGAAGGAGCAGAAGAAGGAGAGGTGCATTGTCCCCCAGTGAGAGTTTCACTCCAGAGATGAGCTCAAGGAGTGAAGCGTGACACACACACACACACACACACACACACACACACACACACACACGGTCCTGGGAGAGGATATGATGATATGAAAGCAAGATGGAATATGGAAGACAGGCACAAATGCACTTGCATACAAAGGAATGTGTGTGTGTGTGTGTGTGTGTGTGTGTGTGTGTGTGTGTGTGTGTGTGTGTGTGTAAGATGACGTAATCTTACCTGTGAGAGCCCCAGGTAGATAGAAACTGTCTCTGAGATGTAGAGGAAGCGTCCCTCATGACTGACTACAAACACAAAGCCATCTAGAGACTGCACACACACACACACACACACACACACACACACACACACACATGAAAGTAAACAGAAACAAGACAGACAAATTAGAGCAATTAGCATGTATCGAACAAATTGGAATGAGTCAGAGAACAAACAACACGTCACCCTTCGGCCTCTTCTCTCAATTCACAAGTGCACTCACACACTCTCATACACACAAGCTGCTGCTACACACAGCAGCTGCAAGCAGGATGTACCATATACAGGGACATGTACACATGTCCACACACACACGCGTAAGCATGCACAAGCACATTTAGCATAGAGAAACAAAGCTTATAGAGCAGGGCTGTTTCAATCAGCTGTAATAAAGTCAGAGACACAAAGCCTCGTCCTGGACCTGCAGCCACACACAAACACACAGCAGACACAGATAAATCCAGAGTCATTTCAGGCTGCGCTGATTCTAATGAGAAGTGAAAGGTATACAGCCAGCCCATTAGAGCGGACTGCTTCAGAGAATAATATTAATCGTCATAACAGGCGTCCGGGAGTGAGAGGACACAGCCTCGCAGACATACACACAGGGCCGGGGCCACTTCGCGCTGGAAGATAAAAAAGTGATTGCTATTTTGGCGGCCCTGGCGCTTAAAATGGCTGTGGTAATTTATGCAACCGACACATCCAGTATGCAAATGACCGGGCCGGGGTGTGGGGCGTCATGTGTCGCAGCGAGGGAGAAACCAGCCGTCTGAATGTCGGAGAACTAAAGTGCAATTATTGGGCTATTACGGAGGGGAGGATAGCTGGGAGGGGAGAAAAGGAGAAAAAAATCATACAGTTTTTCCGGAGCATTAATTTGATTTCTATCAGCGCCGTTCGCTAAGCTTCAGTTCTTCTTTAAACATACCAGAGTACTGGAGACAAATGTGACGTGTCTTTGTTCTAACATAACCTTCTCACTTTTATGTTCCCCATTTCTGCCCGGCTGTAGGAGCACGCTCCCTGCCTCAAACTGCTCCTGGTCTAAAGCCCAGCCTGCAGGACTGTCTTCTTTGCACGTCCTCTGAGTCTTTATACTGCGTTTCATCAGTCCTGCAACTCCCCTGCCCCAGAAAAACCCCTCAGGCTCCATTCATCTGTCAGTCCAAATAGGAGGCCTCTATGGCAACAACAGTGTCCGAGCATCTGAGCGTTATCAGATGTTTGTGCGTATGAGTGTGTTTGGGAGTTTGCCTGGAAATACATAATTGAGGATTACATTAAAGCACTGCCATCCAAACACATACACATCTTAGAGTTTTAAACACACAGAAGCAGTAGGTATTTTTTAAATGTGTTGTGGAGAATTAAAATGAGCAATAAAAGCAAGAATGTTGGTTGTTACCTGCAGCAGGTGAGCTCCTAAGTGCTGCTCAAACATGTCAGTGGCCAGAGAGTGGGCGGACCGTCGAACTGCACAGATAAACGTGACAAACACTTATCAGAAACCAATATCAGATTATATTTGACTTCAAAGCAATATTTATTAAAACTCCTTCTGCCGGTTTTTTATGAACTCATCCTGCTGATGTGTGTAAAAAATCTAAATTTAAGACATTTTTTTGAAACACTGAAAAACTTCCTGGTTGAAAACAAAGTCTCAGTAAGCAGAAATATTTTACAAATGCCTAAAGAGCACAAGAAAAAGACAAAGCAATCAAATACATTAAATAGCTCAGTTTATTCTGTTTAATAAAAGATGAACTGATTTTTGCATCGCTGCCTCAAACTTGGGATTTCCAGCTGACAAACAGTGATTTTTAAATGCAACTGAATTAAATGAGTTTATAACAGTTGTTGCACAAGGTAAAGAATTTTTTCCACAGCAAAAACTAAAATAAAATACTAAAACCTGGTTTATTTTGCTATTAATTTCCAAATCAGAATGGGGAAAAAAGCCAATTGAATGAATTTGTTTTACAATTTGAAGAATAAATTCTAGACTGAAAAATTACTCATCAATCAATACATTTGATGTGTTCTCTAGGAGGAATAAGTCATCTTCTAAGTCGTTCTCTGGTGGAAAAAATATAATTAGCACCATTTCTCTGACCTAAAAGTGGCCCACATCACAGCTGAGCGTCAGGCGGCCGGTTTTGGAGTCTCATTTCCTGATATTTGGACATCTCACCTCAGACTGGATAACAGCAACACACCTCTACCACTGACTTGCTACGTATCTCCTCAAATAACACAAGCCTGGAGGAGCTTCTGCCGTGTGGTGAAGTTGCTAATGCTAACGGTTAGCTTAAACTAGCCGAGACGTTCTCTGCTGTTTCCTGGACGTTAAAACAACAGCTTTCTCTCTCGTGAGTCAAGATTGATGAGTCCATGAATTTTAATTCACAGTGTGACATAGGTCTGTAAGAATTTTCAAATCCTCGAGTTTCAGTTTGTTTTCTATCAAAAGCTAATGCAGGAGATAGGTGTAGGAGACTTTTTTCATGTTCAGCCTGCATGAAAATCTCAGCAATAAAAAAAATTTAAAATTAGTTTTTTAGTCAACTGTGTCTTTAATCTGTTTTTGACTCTACTTGCTCTAAAATTACTTAGAAGTCGTGTAATTGACATATTTCTAAAGTATAAGATTAAAACATGAAATAGGTATAACAACTCAAAAAATGGAATATCTTAAAAAAGATAACACCTAATAAGTTCCAGACTTTAGGTTTGGTGAGTAAATAACAGAACTGTACACAATTGGACAGAAATTTCTGAAAACAATCATATTTTTGTATTTTTGTCATGCCTCTGTTATGTTTTTGAGCATCTGATAAGAAATGATTTACCATGTGATTTTCTCCTGTAACAGAGGATAAGAAGAGCTATATGATGCACAGCACTCAATCTCCGTCAGACACACACACGCACGCACGCACTCACACACATTTAGTGTCTGCATCACCACTCTTAATGCATCCCAAACACAAGCTATCAGAGCTGCTTCAGTACCAAAGTGGTGCTGTTTACCAGGGCAATTACAATACAAATAGAGTTGGAGGTGGTTAGGTGGAGGGGAGGGGAGTGAGGAGGTGGGAGGGGAGAGAAAATAAGAAAACGCTGAAGAAGGTGAGAGTGATCACTTTCTCCAAAGCAAATGAGGATCAGGGAGGCTGCAGTGATGTGGAAGATTAATTTAGCAATCAAGCATCTTTACTGTTTTATGTCAGAAAGACTGTGTGACGGTGTGCATGTGTGTGTGTGTGTGTGTGTCTACAAGGCTGCACACGTATGTATGCGCACACACACTCCACAACATGGGGACCATATGTGAAAACTAATCTCACTCCAACAGGGCTGCTTTTGAACACAACATTCCCGATCTGGCAGAGACAAATGTGTGTGAGAGAGTGTGAGCACAAATATGTGTACACAAGAGCTTACGAGTGTTTGTGAGTCTGTGTGCGTGACTTTAAGGATCATCGGATATGTGTGTGTGCGTGCGTGTGTGTCGCTGTAAGGCTGAGGGAAATCAATATGCCTTATGACAGGAAAATGAAAGCGCTGCTCTGGGTTACAACCCAACACAGAAGCAGATTCAGAACACATGCGCACACGCTACACCAAAGTATGAGCCCAGTTGTGTAACTGATGTGGTTTTGATGAATAGTTAAGGAGGTATTTTATTAGAGCTATACTCACCCTTGACTTCATGATTTCTGGATATGGCAGGAAAAACAAACCTTTCTTTGGGCAACATTAGGTTTTCACACATGAACCAATCAAGCTAGCCAAGTACACAAAACATCACGGAGAATATGAGACACATGGTGTATTACCCTCACATAAAAGCATTGGGACGTATTCTTTATGCAGCTGCTTTTAAAATAATGGAAGAAGAGTTAGAAATATTTTTGAAGCTGTCCAAATACAAACAACACTTCAAACAGAAGCCATGGCTCTGCTCATGTTTTAAAAATAAGTACTCAGTCATTAACCGGGTAAGCCATCCTATATGTAAATATATAGTCTAGCCATGAGCGACTGAAAGAGCTCAGTCGTGGGGTGGAATCTACAGTTGTCTTTCAGACTACCTCCGCAAGCAATTGGACACCGCTACTACCATTCAGAACAATGGATATTGATCACTGCAGAAACCAGTCAGCAGGGTAGTTCGTTACACACTGTCAAAGAAGAAAATACATACTTTTTATAGGGATGTCCCGATACAACATTTTCACTTCCGATACCGATATTGCAGCCTTCAGTGTGAACCGATACCGATATCAATCTGATACGATATCAGCACAAATCAAACATACTTTTACCTATATTGTAGTGTGGAATGTGTGAAAGGCTTGATCAAGTGATATTACTCAATCGGAGAACAAGAGTCAATAAGGGTAAGTATGAAAAAAATTACAATTTTTTTAACCATTGGTTGCAAAAATGTGAACCTTAACGGACTGCTTACCGTATTTTCCAGCCTATAAGCCGCTACTTTTTCCCCACGCTTTGAACCATGCGGCTCATAATGAGGTGCGGCTTTAGTCAGCCAGAAAGGATGGATGCTGGAAAGTCTAATGAAGGAATGGTTAAAGGAGTGCTACGGAAAGTGCCCAGGAGGAATTATTTCACAGTAAAACGGCTGCTGCTTGTTTTCCCAGCTTCACCACGGGATGATGACAGCAACACGGAGAGCGACACTGACATCGCCACAGAAAAGGTATGTGACGAAGCTCTTCTGAGGCTGTTCAACTCCGACACTGAAGAAGATGACTTCAGTGGTTTCAGGAGGACGATGAATAAACTAATCAATAACTTTTCTGTTTTGTTTGACACTGATCAGTTCAGTTACATTCAGTTAAACTACGTTGTCAATTCAGTAGATATCTGCAGCTTTTAGCCCGGTGCGGCTTATATTGAGGTGCGCTCTATAGTACGGAAATTACGGTATATTGGAGATGCAGTCCGATATAATCCGATATGTTTTTGGGCCGATTTTCGATATCGATATCAGAACGGGACATCCTTACTTTTTTCAAATATAGGACTTAAAGCTACAAATCTGTAAAACAAGCTAGCTTAAAACATTTTTTTCATACCTCTTAACAACATTCTAAAGCAGGGATTCCCAAAGTGTGGTGCGCGCACCCCCGGGGGTGCGCGAGCTGCCGCTAGGGGGTGCGCGAGGTGAAAAGTGTAATGGCTGCGGAGCTCAGAGAAGTCTGTCATATGTCACCATTAGCGTAGCCAGAAACTCATTTGTGGGTGGGCCTAAGAAAAAGTAAGTGGGCCCAATAAATGTAATTGAAAACAAGTATATTTTTGCGCGCGTGTCCTCCACATGTGCCCTAGCTTCATAATAGCAATGCGCCGAGCTCCAGCACTCTGGCCTGCGCACGCCGACATGTTCCGTATTTGATCATTTTTAACGATGTTGGAGGAATCTGAAGGTGAGTCATTCTGGCAGATTGTAATTAACACCCTGTCTCATGCAGGTGTTCTGACATTGTAAACCTCACACACAAAACATTGTGGATGTAACAAAATAAATCAAGAAATGATTCCCATTCAGGCTATTAACAGCGCGCTGAAGATCTGAAGTTCAGAGTGTGTCTGTCAGAGGTCAGACGCGTTCCAGCGGAACCACGGCTCACGGGTGCACAAGTGCGCACATCTGGGCTGGGCAGAAGTCATTTTACAACATTGGTTTAAATAGCGCCAATAACGAGACGCGGCTCATGGAGCTGTGCCGCACACACACACGCACACACACACACACACACACACACACACACAGATTCAATAAGCGCGCACGCTGCGCAAACTCCGGCGCGCCGTCAGACTGAAGGCAGAAATGAGCGCTGCCTCCTCCATGATAAAAACTTTTAAGAGGTTTTATAACATTTTTCATTCCAGGTCAAATTAAGATATTAGCTTCTATTTTGGGATGACGTATTAAAGTCGGGTCCGCTCTAGCCAGTGACTCCGAACCTGACAACTCATGTTACTGCAGCATTTGTTATTCCAGTCCGCGTGGCAGCGGATCGCAGATTCAGCCACACCATCAATTGTAATGGTATCGAATGCTTATTAATTACTATTTAAAAAATGAAAGTGATGGGGAAAAAGGTCGATCATATTTTTTTTAACCCTGTTTAGCTTGACGTCTGATATATATATATATATATATATATATATATATATATATATACATACAGTGGGGCAAAAAAGTATTTAGTCAGCCACCGATTGTGCAAGTTCTCCCACTTAAGATGATGACAGAGGTCAGTAATTTTTCATCATAGGTACACTTCAACTGTGAGACAGAATGTGAAAAAAAAATCCATGAATTCACATGGCAGGATTTTTAAAGAATTTGTGAATTTATTCCTTGCTTCATGTGGCTCAAGAGGCGGCCAGCATTTCCAGTTGAAAAGACGTCTAAATGAGATCTAAACTCTTGATAT